GTTTTGCTTTAGAAACATCTGGCGTCTTTTCGTTTTGCTTTTAGAAAACATCTGGCGTCTTTCGTTGGTTTTTTTTTTCAGCAATCAACGGCGTTTACAGCAATCAACAGCAATCACGGAGGTAAACAATGGCTGCTACTGAGAATGGGAGACAGCAGAAGTCGGCTTTTAGCTAACACTTACACTTCTGCTTCTACTAACGTTTCCTACTGGAACATGTCAATGGCTACTAATGGGGAATGAGAGATAGAAGAATTTGGCTTTTAGTTGACGCGCACGCTGCGAATTTTTTTTTTATTGTTCAACGACACACAGGAGAAATTTCCCACCGGCCCCACCTTGCAGGTCAAAGCGTAAGACTGGTTACATACTAGGACGGGACGCGGGACGAACGTGTGCCGCTATAAGCAGCTTCGCCCCTAAAATGGCTACAGGAACGCGCGTGGTGTTGGAAATGCACGTGGGAGAAGAAACACCGCGTGCGAGCACGCTAGCGCCACCACTCAGTCAACATTTCATTTGGGCAGCGACGTCAGTGTTTGTCGCGCTATCTTTAGCCAACTTAACACTCGCCTCCCTCAGATGTGTTCGTAGGCGTATTGTCCCTTTCGGACAACTTCTTTCGTGCAACCTGCAGAATAGAAAGTTCCACCCTCAAAGGCCGCAAGGGCACACACGCAGAAATCCCGTGCTGCTCATTTCGCTTCTATGGAATATTGCAGATAAATATAAAGAGGGGTGCTTTCCAGAGGCACTCGCGTCATGGTGGCGACGCGGCTGCGATCAGATACGTCGTGAGCGCGATGAAATCGAATGCGAGACATTGTTGCCGCTCGGCGATATCACTTTTATTTCTGCGTGAGTGTGTACATGTCTGTGCAATAAAGCAGACAGGTTAATTGTACTGCACCTCGGCAAGAGCAAACGTGGTGGGCGTAGCGGATCTTTAGCACGGGCATCTGTCACTCAAAGTGACCGGCGCGTGAACTCGGATACCAGCTTAATAATTATGAGAAGGCCCTGCTTTGCGACTGAGATGGTGCCAGCGTAACTGTCCAGCGTTTATTGTGGTCAACGCAAGCGGCAGTTTCTTAGCATATAAATAATGTGGTTAGTTTACACAACTTGTGCGAGGCTGAATAGAGAAGCTTGAGATAACCTAGCTTCATGCAGATAAAAGTATGCTGTTTTTTTCACCATTATCAGAAATCGCCCTCGTGATTTATTTTAGGTATTGATTATCTAACTGCTCTCTCCGCCGTTATAGGCACCGGACAGTGAACCAGAGGGCGCAACGAAGCTCTTTGGGCCACCTCAGCATTGTTGGTACCGACCGCCAGGGATACTTAGAAAATGGAACGCTCGCTGAACAGAGTGACACGCTGAAGTGTCAGTGCCCTTCTTGGCACGTTTGCAAAGAACGCTTCCTGGGCGCTTAAATAATCAGCCGTGACCTCTTGCTCACCACTAAAAAAGAAAATGATATGCACGTGCAAGTTCGGTTTTGCTGCGTCTACTCGCTAGGCTACGCATTGGAAGACTCTGTTTTGCTGCGCCACCCGCTAGACTGTGTGTTCTGGCGCTACCATCAGATGTCGTAAACTGCATTGCCGGGTGCCTATAGACTGTTCAGCCGGTTGTCTTGATCTTGGTATGCCTCTACTTTTCGATCCGACCGACCCACCTCAAAGCCGTCTCTGCTGCATCAATTTCGTACGCCTTCCTGCAAAATATATTAAACATGTCGACCGTTCCACCTGTACATAGTTGCGCCAATCTGTGCCGTGATGTTTGCGCATGGCGTTGCTGTCCCGCACACGATTTTGCAAATTGGTGGAAACCGCACAAGCCTTCCTCTTATCGATTCCGCCCTCACTGCCCAAATTCTTTGTTAAAGTTTGTTTTGACCAAAATTACTGCCCTACAAGACCATACTGTTTACTGTTGAGCCCTTGAGAGTGGATGATTGCTGCACCTCAGACCATGATCCAACTCTATCATGGTCATCGGGCGTCGACGTTGAACGCATGGTGCCATCAGACCTAAGTCCTGATCAATGCGAGTCCCTCCGTCATGTTCTGGAGTCCTATGATGGCCTTTCAGACTTCGCCAGCATGTCCTTAAGCAAAAGTATTGTTGTTACTCATCACGGTAATACTGGTGACGCGAGTCCCACTCATCGACGTCCATACCGTGTTTCCGCATCCTAGCATACAGTCGTACAACAGAAAGTCAAAAAGCTGCCCGCAAAAGACATAATCGAGTCCTCGTGCAGCCCCTGGGCCTCTCATGTCGTCTTGGTGAGAATTGAGGATAGAACATGGCATTTGTGTGTAGATTATCGGCATCTCCGCAAAATTACGAAAAAAGATGTTTACCCATTGCCTAGAATCGGCGATGCCCTATACTGCCTTTACGATGCTACGTATTTCTTCACTATCAACCTTTGATCCCGCTATTGGCAGATCGCTGTCGATGAGATGGACCACAAGAAAACCGCAATAATCACTCCCGACGGTCTTGTATCATTTCAAGGTGATGCCCTTTGGTCTCTGTAATGCCTCAGCTACATTCGAAAGAAGAATGAAATCATTGCTCCAAGGGTTCAAATGGTCTATTTGCTTACGTCACCTAGACGACGTTATCGTTTTCTTGCCCACTTTCATCGCCCAACTTGACCGTTTGCCGGCAATTCTTCACGTTTTTCATTGAGCCGGACTTCAATTCTACGTTTCGAAATAGCACTTCGCTCGTCGTAAAATGACCTACTTGGCCACTTCATCCATGCCGCAGGAGTCAATCTAGATTCCGAAAAAAATTGCGCTGTTACGGAATTTACTGTTGCAAAATTTACAATTGACGTTTGTAGTTTTCTGGGGCTGTGCTCTTATTTCTGATGCTTTGTTAAGAATTTCACAACTATTGCACGCACACTCATGAACCTCCTTAAGAAGGATGCCCCCTTTTCTTGGGGCGCTGATCAAGCCTCATTGTGATGAGTGAAGAAAACGACAACGACGGAAGTGTAGGGCAAGGCGCGTGTAATGTGCGCGTGAGTGTCAGCGAATCAGCTGATGACCTGTGGTGGCCAATAGAGGTGGCGTGCCACAATTGGGCCACGGGCGACCATCACGTGGCAGTGGGCTTTGTGGCTGGGGACGAGCCGAACCAGCGGCAGACGGGAGACAGCAGGCCGAAGCGTCGGACGCAGGCAATCCAGGTTCCGGCCAGGGAACGCGGCCGTCCACGCTACTGCCGTCCAACTACCAGCTGGAGTGGCGTTGCCGGCACGAGTACTGCATCTCGGGGCGCGGCCTGGCCTGCTGTTCTGCTTCCTTGCCGAGGGCATTGCGGATCTCGGCGAGGCGTCTCCGCGGTCAGCCGTTCAACACAGCGATGAACGTGGCCTGGCTAATGGTCACGGTTGCGTCGAGCATCGCGTCTCGGCGCACACTCTTCGCTGGACGGGCTGGCCATTCCCCGCATGGAGCATCGCGTCTCCGATGCGGGTTGACTGCTCAGTAGTCGAAACCATGTCATCAAGCGCCGGTGTCACCAGAGCGTCGTACATCGGCAAGGAACGAGCGAGACGTTCTGCCGGGCGAGACGCGGGAGTGCGCACAGAGGAGCACGGAACCGGGCGAGGTCCAAGGTGGCCGTGGATCCAGGTGCCAGGAAAGTTGCTGGCTGAATCTAGGATCGCCGAGCGGTGCCGAGTGATGCGCCAGACTCGGATGTGGGCCAGGAGCTGATGAGCTGCAGTGTGCACCCGAGGGTACCTGGCGGTGCCCTGGCCAAGAAGAAGGAACGTGCGGAAAAGAGAGCTCGAGCGTTGAGGCCGCGAAGGCAGAGGAAGCGGTGCGCCGCTCGAGAGGACGAGTTCCTGGCAGCGTTCCTAAGCCGGACGTGAGACCCGTACGTGTCGGCCGGGTCGAGCTCCGGTGTGTCTGTTCAAGGTCTAAGGACGGGGCCTGCCAAACGGCTCCTGCCTGGGTGCAGTGGCCGGGAGCAGGTTCGTGGGCGAGGCCTACCGGGTGTGGTCCTCGTGAGCCGTGGCCTGATCCTGGACCTCAGGAGTTGTGACCCTGACTGCTGGGTTGGCCGCGACGTCCGACTCAACGGCACTGCACACGGTAGCGTATCCGTGCGCCGTCAGCCGTTCCACCCATGCCATGAAATAAAAAGTTCATGTTAATCCTTTCTCGTCCGCTATAAGCAAACATAGTGACGAACGTCCCTTATCCGTCACACTCATATTGTTTCCAACTCACGTGCTTCCTTACAACACCACCAATTTCAGCTTATTTCAATCTGTCGGCTTCATCCGATGCTCGCACTGACGCTTGTGGGTATGGCATAGGAGCAATGTTATTGCACCACCTACATGGATGTCACCGTGTTATAGCCTATGCAAGCCGACTGCTATCTACCGTCGAGTGCAACTATTCAATCACCGAGCGTAAGTGTCTCGCTCTTGTGTGGGAAGCCGCCAAGTTTCGCCCGTACATATACGGGCGCCCATTCCGTGTACTCATCGATCACCACATGCTTTGCTGACTGGACTCACTCTAGAATCTCACAGGAAACCTCGCTCGTTGGGCCCCTACGTTAACAAGCATACACACCGTAACGTACAAAACAGGGTGGTTTCTGCTTAGCACGTGGCCTTTGAAACATTCTTTTATTTACATTGACCAATGTAAGGTGTACTAACCAGGTAGTTGTTTTAGTTGAAAAGCGAATTTTTACCCTGGTATTGCTATTTAGGTCATGCTTGCAACCAGCTGTCTGTTCTTGACGTGATACCTCTTGCTTATGTTTTATTTTATTACCGAAATGGTGTCATTACGCTTTGAATTGAAATCCTTCGCTACAGAACGGCGACCATCACGCAAGTTTTTGATTTCCTGACACATGGTATAGACAGTGCGGTCGCGAGGAAAGAATACGTGCTAATGTTTGGTGACATAAAAGATATCCTGTCTTTTTCTCTGTTGCAGAAAACACGGAAGCTTACAAGCACCTTCACGGTGGTCTGACATTTGTTGAGAGACTGCCGAGGAACGTCAACGGCAAAGTGATGAAGCAGCACTTGAAGCAGTTATACCAAACAGCAACAGTCTATTAGGAGCGCACGCGCATGTGCTAAGAGATGTCTAGAGAAAAAAATAAAATCTAGACCTAAAACACACAGTTATGTTGAATAATTTCTTGGAAGTAATATTTTTTTTTCCTATGGCTGTGCTCTACGTGAAGTTCGAGTGATATCTCCGGCATTACGTATCCAATATTACTAATACTATATTAAAGTGAGAAATATCTATGGACTGATTGTAACGCTTGGTGCTCTTTTTAAGAAGCAGTAAGATTCGCTGTTTTGATCTGTTCATATCTTGTAGCACCTCCTGTTAGCTTAGAAATTGTTGTCATTGATTGATGAGAAGAGCGTGAGAAGCGCGCGGGCAGTCATTGATGCAACACAAGCAAACGCTATCACATAGCATGTGGAAATTACAATGAATATGTACTATTGTAAAACATTGTACATAACGAATATTGATGTGTTGCATTATCGGTTATATTTAACTGAATACCTTTGCCAAGGGGCACTTCTGTGCCATTTGTTTTGTAAGAAATCAATCCTAATAATCAAAAGCCGTTTCTAGAAAAACTAGAACGAACAGATATTTCATTCGCGTAACGCTAAAAAGTTGTTCTTCTTAAAAGCAGCACTTAGACAAAACTTATTTACATCTGCAGCTGCCGTAGGTAAGCTCCATTCTCATGGTTTAGCAATTTCTAAAAAGTTACGCTTAATAAACACCAAGAAATATGATCTCAAAAACTGCTTTTGCACATGGCAAATAACAGCACACGGTAGCTTCCGGGACAAGCAAGGAAACTTCCGGTGACTTCACAAGTTCATGCCTGGGATAGCGTTGATACGGCGTACAGCTTGTCAATGCACTCCAGTGATAGCTTTCTTGGTAGCTTACGGAACGATCTGCGATCATGCTAGAAGGTTCGAGCCCTATTATGTAAGTTAAAGAAGCGTTTCACCGGCAATCAGATATCTACGCCAGTTGAGTGTGCCTGCTGTTATGATCGTGAAGCATGCTTTGTTTCTACAATATGTCTGTTAGTTTTTTAGGCCCATTTGGACAAAAAATAGTTGAGTCTTCATCATTTCAATGGTACTAGTTCATGGACAGCCTTCATTGATTCACTACTACGTACCAATTATATAAATCTTCCATTGCTTGAACCCGAACACATGCTACACAACTTCCAACATGACTAGTTATTTAAAAGTGCTTATTTGTAGCATAGATTGCTTTTTTTCCTAGAACAACATTCATCCGTTCTGCATAGTGTGAAGACGAAGAAGGACGTCGGGGTTCGGGCGTGCGGGCAGTTAAAACGAAGCTGAGGAAGGACGACAGAATAAAAAAGCTGGCCCAAGATCGCGTGCTGTCTCGTTGTTTTTTAATTTTTACAATAGCGCATCTGAAAACATTCCTTTCTTCATCACACTTCCTAGATCATTGACTCCACTACCTGATGGTAGTGAACCTGACAGGTTAACGGCAACCTTTTGTAAGAAATAAAAACTCGGAACTAGCACCGATTCTAGCAGTGGTTTTCAACGAAACTTTAGACATCAAGGTTCGGCCACCTTCTTGGGTGCGATCCCATACAATAATAATCTCGAACACCCTAGACGCCGTTACAATACGTGAAGTCAAGACGCTCAGTCTATCAAATATTGAGTACGACATTTTGATGCAAGTGTTAGCAAGTAGACTGGAGACAGTTATTGTGAACATTGTAGGTGACCACCAGGCATGTGGAAGTGAAAAACGCATTATATTCACAAACATTCACAAGGCAAGAAGTGTACTGGAAAGCTGTGATGCCACAAGCAATCACATCTCGATGATCCAGATAGATTTAGAAAAAGTATTTTGATAGATTTTGATAAAAAGCAAAAGATTTAGATAGATTTAGAAAAAGCAAGATGCTGAAGTACGGGTACTGGCATATGCAGATGATGTAGCTGTGTTTTGTAAAGAGTATGAAAGTGTCGCTGAAACCGTAAAAAGCGTGAAACTTCTTTGTAATATGAGTGGCAGTTCGGTAAATTGCAGCAAGTGCGTGGGTTACTGGCAGGGTGAATGGCCTGGGACTCCAGAATTTTTGGCTTGTATTTCATGAACTACTACTTCTGTGCAGTGCCTAAGCGTTCCATTGCAAGATTATCGTGACAGTGAACCATTATACGGCGTCGGGCCGTGGAGCTTTATACGACAAAAAGCTGAGCAACCTAAAGGTTTGCAGCCATAAATTTTTTGCAGAGCGACCTTTCGGAACATTTTTTAGCCAATAAACTCTGGTATGTCTTTCAAGTATAGCATTGTTCACGTGTGAATGTACAGTAAATTCACCGAATTTTTGTGTTTTATTGTGAGGTTCTTACTTGCGACGAACAAGTAGACGAGCCTATTCAGGTGAGTTCGCTCTGGTGAGCTTGATCTGTGTCATTGTACCTTCGTTAGTCAGTTAATCGGGTCATGTTTTTCCAAACTAATCGATATCTATTCTTACGTACTGTTATACAGCTTAAGCTTGGAAGACTGTTGCCAGAATTTGTGGTGGCATCTGCTAAGATGAACGCGAGCATTAGAGGTTACCTAAAAGCAGTAGTTTATTGAAGTCACTTCTTAAAAACACGTTTTCCATTAGAGTGTCTCAGTACAGTGTCACGTAAAAGTTATGCAAACATCTAGTAGAAACATTTCTTCTTTTTCCTCTATATAGAAAATTATACCGTGTAGGCTCAGCCCAGAATGTCTTAAGCCATGTAAGAAAAATTGAAAGTCTGACCTGGAGCGAACTTTTTTTAAAATTTCATGCTGAAACATCGCCAGTGAAAACATGAATGAAAGAATCAGGCTTAATCGTTTCTTGGGTTAATAATTCTTTCTCTGGAAGAAGCCGGTAACAATCGAACATGTTTTCCTTGACTTCTGGGATGCAGTCGTTTTTATTGCGTGTTATCCAAAGGACTTTGAAAAAGAATCTGCTTCTTGATGCCTGCGGTATCAGATTTCTCCCAGTACCAAATGAGAAAAGAATCCCTTTCAACCTAGTTATGTTACTGGGCTTTATAGTATATGGCAATGTAGATTGGCGGTGTGCCGTGCTGATGGTAATTCACGTCCGATCAGGCAATACAGCTTTCAGTCTGTCTGTTCATTCGTGGAATCACAAAAGGTTCAAAAATATGTGCCCGAATGGCTTCATAGAGTAGAAAGCCTTCTACAGATGAAGAAATTTCAAAGAGCCTGTGAACTTTGACGCTTTAACCTCTTATCTTTTATCCCTGTTTGCCCTGTGTTTGACGTATATTTGCTTGTGAATGCTGTATGTAAACAGGCCATAAAGAAATAAAGCCAGACGCTTCTCGGTGGCTCAGTCTAAAAGTAGATGCGCTTTCGCATAACAACTTGTTTATTGAGCCAACGTTTTGATGGGAGCCCCGTATTTTTCAAAGCATAATACTATTTACACAATTTCGTGCCATCTTATAGCTTCTTGAGACAAGAGGGAAGAGGACAGAAGAAAAATATCAACCACAAAAATGAAAAAGGAAGGAAGAAACTTTAGAAAGAAGCAAGAGGGGCATGGCGGGTTGCGAAGGAACAAGACCTCAACAAATGTTAACGTAAACGAGCTATGCCATCTTTGTCAACTGGACCACCCGAGCACCCACCCTTTCCCAAGGGCACATTTTGACCACCATTTTTCTATTTCACCCTCCGGTGCAATCCGCTGGCAACTTGCCCTCTTTTGAAGTTTACGACAAATCGGTGGGAGAGGTTAAGCGGTCCCACCGATAGAGGCAAGAAAAAAAGAGACAGAAAAAAAAGGTGGAACTTGTACGACATCCGGGACCACTTATCTGTGCGTTCCGAATTTGCTTAAAGTGGCAAACCATTTTTCTATTGTCAGATCTATACACCAAAAGATTTGTTAGGGGGTAATAATATTGTTGTAATAGGCGGTTAGGGACTGAGTACAGAATAAAGAGAGGCGATTGCGTTTTTAGTGCTCGAAACGCTGACAGAGTGCCTGGGTGTTTATTTATTTCATTTTTGATCGTGCTGAATTTGTAGGCAAAGTGAGATTCCTATTGTTCCCGCTCTCTCATTGTATGAAAATTGCTTTCCAATAGCGTAACTCTGATTTCATCAAATCTGTGGCTTTTAATGTATTCTGTTTTGAAAGGGGAAGGCCTGGCAGGAAACGTACATGTGCCCGATGGTTGTTGAATCTAATTCTAAATGGTGTGTCTGTCTGGCCCAAGTAATGCAAGTTACACACCCCACATTCAAGAAGGTATATGACGTTATCTGAGTAAATGTCCAGTGCAGCTCTAATCCTGTGCCCAAAATCCCAGTTGGTGCTTTCCGCCACTGTCGGTCTCTGCATGTGTTTGCATACTTTGCACCTGCTTTTTCCGCAAGGGCGACACCCTGTTTGAGGTTTCACGCTTATTTTTGAATTAATCAAATGATCGCTTATACTTTTCGGCCACCTGGATACCACAGAAGGAGAGGAAATGAAAATTGTGGATATTCGCACGCTCTGTTCCAATATGTTACACTGTTTTCTTAGGATCTTCTTGATGTTTGGCGGGTTGCTCGTGAATGTTAAGAGCAAATTTTTGTTACGGTGCTGGTCGGCATTTTTTTGGTGGTGTAGAAGAGTTTGGTGGTCTAGATTTTCCGCTTTTTTCGGCGTCATCACTGATAGCTGGCGGGTATTCTTGATGAAGAAGTACTTCGTGCATATGTGTGCCCTTTGAATAGGGAATGCTAGTATTGCAGTGTCACGGGTGGCAGCTTTTGAAGAGCAGGTATTGTTGCCTGTCCACGGGTTTTCTGTATACACTGGTTATCAACGCACCATCGTCCATTCTAATAAGTACATCAAGGAAACATAAATCAGTGTTGGAGTAGGAGTGTGTAAAATAAATGCTGGGGTATACTAGGTAAAATGCCTGTATGAATTTGGGCAGCTCGTTTTCCGAATGTGCCCATATCAGGAATATATCGTCTAGGTACCGTTAATATATTAAAGGTTTGATATCACAAGATGAAAGAAAATTGGCCTCGATATGGTGCATGAAT